TTGATTGTTCCATTTACTTGAACAGCATCACATCCCAACAAATAAAACACTTCACTTAGATTTGTTTAATTAAAATGAAAAACATCATTTATGTTCAATTAGGGTACGAAAAACATGCGAGAAGATAAAAATACACATGACAAAAAAAAATAAAAGATGAGAATTATTCTACAATTCTAATATACTTCACTTGTGTCTTTTAAGTGTGTTCACATGTTGTGTTTATTTTACACTTGACTCATATTTATAAGCTATTTATAAATATTCTAGCGCTTTTTATAAACACATTTCGAGGGATCTATAAGTCTTATTTATTTGTCAATCACTAATTTTTTTTTTTATCTCTTTATAATTTAAATCATTTATAAATACTTTCCAAACACGCTAAACTTTTGTTTAGAAATAATTTATAAAACGATTTAATTTATAAATACGTAGAATTAAATAATGAATAAGTGAATATTACTTGCAGATCCATTAAAATGTATATTCAAAAATAAAGTTTGACTAATTCATAAAAAATTATAAATTATGGGCATACCACAATTTCATTAGTGTACTTCATAAAAAAAGAAGAAAAAAGAAAAAAGGAATTCATTAGTGTACATGCTTAACTCTGCATTGTAAGTAAAAAAAAAAAAAATTTCCACACCAGTGCCTTGTCATGAATTATTAGACAACACTTGTTAAAAATAAAAACCGAAAAGTTAAAAATATAACCCGACCCATTGCCGGATCACCCATCATTATTAGGTCATCAATTCCACCAATTTGACCTAAAATCGCAAATATGAGCATGCAATTCGGCAAAGCATTGTGTTGCCTAAATATTGAGCGACTTTAGAGCTCGATTGAGCCCCATTTTTTTTTTTTATAAGAATGAATTTTGAAATTATGGATTGATGGAGAATGTGCAGTTAAAAAATAAGGAAAATTTTTGAATTTATATTTAATATTATTTTAATGAAAAATATGTAGTTGAAAAGAAAAGAGAAAATAATATATTTTGAAAATAACGGAAATCAAACAAGGGGATTAATGCTATTCATTACAACTAGTGTTAAGTGCCAGTCTATGTGAAATATATTCATTTAAATGTAAAGTCAAATAATTCATTTAATTTAATCTAGTTCTCGTTTGATGTATTTTTAAATAGTATTTTTGAAAAATGTGTGTTTAAAATTGAAGAAATTTTTTTTGATTTACGTATAATATTATTTTATTAGAAAATGTGCAGTAGAAAATAAATTTTTTCATAAAATGAAGCTTGAGCATGGCGTGCTCGGTAGAGATTAAATCGAATTAAAATTGAAAAATTAGACGTTATTATTAACTTTTATTAGATGAGTGAGACCCTTTAACGACTATTTTTTCAATTTTAATTGAATTTTAATCACTCTCTAACATACTCAAAGTGTAGCTACATAAACTGATGTCCTAGCACCCGTGGTGCACCGCATAGCACCGTAAACTAGAGAACTGCAGGCAATCTCGTCCCGCTCCCGCAAATGGTCGATCGGTGGTTAAATATAAATTCGAAATCAAGAAAATTTCCATTCATTTCAAATGCTTTCTCTGCAAGTTTCTTAAATATTTTTCAAGTCTCCAACGTCTCAAAATTCAATTGCATTTTCGTAAGCAGTTCAATTTATTAGTAATTCGTGAAGATGAGTTTCGATTCGACTCGCTCCGGGAACTCAGTTTCGAATTCGAAACGGAGCTTCAATTCAATTTCTTCAAATCCTTATAACAAAACCAGTAGCAGTGGTGCTAAAAGTACGAATACTGATAAGAAGAAGAAGAAGACGAACCAGAAAACCCTGGGCATGGCTTGGGGAGCCAATTCTCGCTCTTCCTCTCGCTCCGCCTTCCGTAATTCTCCCTTCTCCGATTTCGGCAGGTCCGTCCCTCTTCTCTCCACGTGTGTGTGTGTTGTGTGTATTAGTGTTGAGCAGGTTTCTAGCTTCTTAGAAGTTGCTTTTTATAGAAGTTTAGAAAGTAATTTAAGAAGTTGTATTGATAATTAACTGTAGGTTTCGTTGATTTTAAATGGAAATTCCAATAAATATAAACATGAAATCTCAACGGCACGGGCTACTTGATATCTTGATAATATGGATTTCTGCATGAGTTTAGGAATTGATGTTTATGAACAAGGTTGCACGTAATTTTTCATTGAGAACTTAGGTTGCGGATGTTTTGCGGAAAAATAATACGGACATGAGGTATGCCTCGTAGTTTTAAGGGAACCAGGAATTTGTTTCTTGTTGATGCTTTCTGAGAATTTTTGGTGTTTAAAGAGTTTGTCAGTATTTGGCAATTACCTGATTTTCAGTTGTTTCGACTCTATGGTCTATGAACTTACAATGCATTGTTACTTCCACAGTACTGGTTCGCTATTTTATTGTTTGTGTTATGATGAATATGCTAAAATGGATGGAGAAAATTCTAAATTATATTTACTTTGCACTATGTTATGTATGTCCTTTGCTGCATTTGCTTCTTTAGGTAATCTCTCTAGTCATGTTACTGAATCTTTCATATTCTGCTTGCATGATACTTGCAGGTGTACAATAGTGTCATTTGTTCATCAAATATAATTTTTGATTTTAAGATAATATGTTAAATTGGTCTTTCTTCCTAATCCTCTTTCATTTATTTTATTTTCTTTTTCGATGTAAGTCTCTTTTCATTATTTTTTCAATTGTTCTTTCTCCTAATCCTCTTTTAGTTATTTTCTTTTTGTTTTGGATGTAAGTCTCTTTTCTTATTCGTTTGGTAGTTATGAATATATAATATTTTTAGTTTTTTGATTGTTTTTGTCTACTTGGGTGTAGTTACATGGTTTTGAAGAATAAAAAACTACACGAACAGTTTGATGCCGAGGCTTCAAGCTCTTCTCAAAGTGGTTCTGCTTCTGGGAAATCTATATTTCACGGGGTTTCGATTTTTGTGGATGGATATACCGTCCCGTCTAGTCAGGTTTGATTTGTACTCTGATATTTTATGGGCTTATGTTTTCATTATATAGATGTATTGGATTGCTTAACCTTGTTTTGTTTGGATTCAGACAGTCAATTGTATTGCATTTGTTCATGCAATTTAAGAATTTTAATTAAAGTTAAGAAGAACACTCAAGTTTGAAACTACAAATTTGTGAAGATTAAAACTAAGCATAGGAGTTATTTTAGACGTTCCTATTTATCTTTAGACGCTCCTTTTTTTTAAAAAAAGTCATTACTTCTCTTATTATATTCCATATGAGGAATGTAGACGTTTTTTATTTATTTTTTACTTTTATTGCAGGAGCTTCGAGGCTACATGTTAAAGTATGGAGGACGATTCGAGAATTATTTTTCAAGGCATCGTGTTACTCATATAATCTGCAGTAATCTCCCTGACAGTAAAATCAAGAATTTGAGGTTCATCTTGTCTTTGCATGTCAAACTGATGCATTGATGTTTTTGGTACTTAACAAATTTCTGTTTGTGAATTTGATACAGGTCATTCAGTGGTGGGCTTCCAGTAGTTAAACCCACCTGGGTTCAAGATTCAGTTGCTGCTAATAAACTTTTGAGTTGTACGTCATATTTAGAATTGATTCTTTAGTTTAAATTTAGGTTCACTTCACGGTACTCACAATCAACTTCTGAAATTCGTTTTTGTAATGAACGTTTCTTCTAAATCTATGAATTGTAAATGTGTGAGGAAACCTGAGAAAGAACTCATTATTAGTAGTTTTTCCTTTTTTAATAGCAATAGAGAAGGAATTGGAAAGAAAGTAATTCAAAGATTAAATACATTTTGATCTACTATCATTTCTGTTCTTTAAATTTGTAGGTTTGTCAGCATTCATGACCTTAGTTACCTGGAATACCATTTTAGCAGATTATGAATTGATATTATTTTCCTAGACATGGTATGCCATCATCTCAGGGTACGTTGTATATCTTCCCACTCATTTTCTCTCACCAGCTTATCTGTTTGGACTGAACTGTAACAAGAGGTGTAATACTTTTAAGTCGTTATGACAACGAGCTAGCTTATGGTATAACTTGAACTTCTCAAAAAATATTGAAGTGATTAATTAAACACAGGTGTCAAATTGCTCCCGAGTCCTAACCTCCTTCCTGGGACAAAGATATATCCAAGTAATAGTTAAAATAGGTTTAGAACACCTGCCGTAGGATTTCACTGCTTCTGTATATTTGTAGATCTGCTGATTTGCTTTTCATACTAGGGAAATTTTTTAAAAGATTGCGAGTAAAAATTTGAGTGGCATCCATCAAAGTCACTCTGGTTGTTTGGTTTGCCTGTAGGGATCCCTTATCAACTCGATCAGCTTGCAAGTGAAATTCATAACCAACCAAAACTATCTGCTTTCTTTCCTCTGAAAAACATCCGAGATTCTGATGATGTAGCCCTAAATCTTGGCAATCAAGAAATTTCTGAAACTGAGAATTCATCATTGGAGTATGGGACTTTGATGGTTGCCAATTGTCCCGAACAGTGTGATTCTACAGAACAAGTGGACCAATGCGGTCCAGAATTTGATGGCCTTTTGCACGTGGGCCCTACCGAAATGATACTAGAAGAGCCTGCTTGTAGTGTAGGAAGCCATTGTGAACCGAAAGGTGCTGAACTCTGTGATATTTCCATGTTAGATGGGATGGATACAGGATTTGAACCCAAGTCTATTAGTTCTTTTCAGGCTTCTGCTTCAGTTTGCAGTTGCATCCCTGATGATCATAATTCTAAAGAATCGTCAAGTTCAAGAATCAGTTTAGCATCTAATCAGCCTCATTCAACTCTTGTAGATCCTGATTTTGTTGAAAATTATTTTAAGGTAAGAACTTTGAAATTTTACAAATTCTTTTCTGGCATGTGTTTTGGTTCTATGATTCCAACGTATCAGTACTCTGAAATAGTGATTTCTTTTGAGATGTATGCATAATTTAAATTAAGAAGCCATCATCAAGCTTCAGAATTGTATGTATGTCTTTTACTCTCTTTGAAACCATTACAGGAAAAGGAATAATGCCTTGGTTGAAAATGTGTTCCTGTTGGGGTGTTTGAACGCTCTTCTGCTTTTGTATTTTCACCTTTCTGGATCTCGGTACATTTTTTATGGTGAAATGCTATGCTAATAAACTTCAAAATAAGTTTTTGGAATTTAAAAGCAATGGAGTTAAATTGTTTCATGGGATTATAGTTGCAGGGCTGGAGTGCTGAACGGTTTATAATAAAGACGAGGACTTGATGATCAATATACATGTATAGAACTATACTCAGACGGTGTTTTCTTTATTTTTCAATACACAGTTTTATGATCATCAGGGCTGGTTAGTACCAAAGCAATGATAACATCTTATATAGCCAGGCATACGTGGTGTGGTTTCTGGTAAAAAGTTGAATTTACCGGGAACAGTTTCCATTGCAAGTTGTCTTCCGTACTGGTTAAAATCTCAATGCTTCACTAACATTGTTAGATTCACTTCATTATCGGTTTGGATCATTAAGATGAAAAACAATGCAATGGGGGATTGTTAGTACACATCTCCAAGGATGGCCACAAGAAGAGTTTAACATATAATCTCCTCTTATTCATTTCTTATTCTTTTTTAGAATTCTTGTTCTACTTTTGAGTTTGTCAGGTTTAGTGTATTGGATTTTATTTTATTTTTAAAATTTTGGACTATCTGTAACATTCTCTTTCTGCACAACCTACTATGATTTTCTTTAGTCTAACATGTATTTTATTGTTAAACTTATAATTTTACCTGCTATTTCATTTGATTTTCATTCTTTATTAGGCTTATTTCTCTTAGTTGCACTTATATTTGGGTTAAACTTATCTTAGTTTCTAGTATTTAACTTTAGTATCCAATCAGTCCCACATCTGAGGAAATGTTCTGTATTTATTTTCCATGTTAGTATTATGATTCATTTAAATGTTTGTTGATATTGCTTCAATTTATTTGAATGTCAAAATGTAATATATTAGCCATTTTAAATTTATTGGAGAATACAGACACATTGTCCATGACTGCTTGGCTGCAAACTATCTAATCTAATATTATTAAAATCTTTCAACTTTTGTGTTTTAAGTATATGCTCTATTGTGATCCATTCACAAATGTACCCTGATTAACTTTTGGATGTTCTAGAGCTCTAGGTTGCATTTTATTGGAACTTGGAGAAATCGGTACCGGAAGCGTTTTCCCACCTCATCTGATGGGTTTAGAGAGAAAAGTTCTTGTCTCAACGCCTCTGCAGTGGTTCACAAGACTGCCATAATACATGTTGATATGGTAATTGTGATCGTTTTCACATGGATTCTTTACCCCCCTCCCCCCAGTGTCCCTAGAAAATCTCATATATCTCTCTTTATAAAGGTTTTTTGATTGAAGAATATAACGATGATTGAAAATATTCTATTCCAGGATTGCTTCTTTGTAGCAGTGGTCATCAAAAACCGTCCCGAATTACAAGACAAACCTGTTGCTGTTTGCCATTCAGATAGTCCCCGCGGAACTGCTGAAATATCATCTGCCAATTATCCTGCTCGAGATTATGGTGAGGCTTGTGTCCTGAAACTATATTTTTGTTTTGGTTTCATATGCATTTTGTGACTAGTATGCTTCTAGGAATCAAGGCTGGAATGTTTGTTAAAGATGCCAAGGCACGTTGTCCTCATCTTGTAATTGTTCATTATGATTTTGGAGCTTATGAGAAGGTATCCATTCAACTTTCTTGCTTTAATTCTATAATTTTTGCTTAGGCATGATATTTATTTGTTCCTACTATTTCTTCATATATGTCATTTTGCATAGCCATCATTTGGTGTTGTTTGATTTCTTGGTTTACAGGTGGCAGATCAATTTTATGACATTTTGCATAAGCACTGCAACAAAGTTCAGGTCTGCAATTGAAAATGCATTTCAAAGCTATATTGTGTTTCTGTTTTTCAGTTTTGAAATTGCGAGTTTATCTAAATGCAGGCTGTCAGTTGTGATGAAGCATTTCTTGATGTCACTGACTCGAGTGTGGAGGATCCCCAGCTTTTAGCTTCAGTAATCAGAAAAGAGATTTTAGACACTACAGGATGCACTGCAAGTGCAGGGATTGCAGGAAATATGCTTATGGCCCGTCTTGCTACAAAAACTGCAAAACCGGATGGCCAATGTTACATTCCTCCTGAGAAGGTCTGCCCCTCTGTTATAGATGAAGGGGTTTTTTTTCTTAAATCCGCCACCATATATCATTTTCATCGTTCCATTTGCCTATATTTTCTCCTGGTGTTTAATTAGTTTTTACTTGGAGCGCTCTTATCTTCATGTTCTGGTTTGCCTTCTGGTCTTGGTATTCTATTTGTGCTGCCTCGTTGACAATGTTAATTTATGTCTTTTTCTTCTGAGAGAGGTGGGGTTGGGGGATGGGGATCCCATATTATTTCTGCTGATGTTCATGGTCAGTTGCGAAGTGAATTAAATATTGCTATCCACTGTTTCCTCAAGCAGGTAGTAACCTTGGCATTATATCTTGCAAACATGAAATAATAATCCTTATAAAGTAATTCAGTTTCTGTATGGTGCCTTTTTTTTTTTAATATAAACAAATCCCACGTGGCCATCCTTGCATTGAGAAGTATAGAAATTTCTGGTGGTGTCCAACTTTTTGTGGCATGTGATTTTTTGCAAAATTGTCGAAGTTGAAATTAATACAATTAGAACCATCTTTCTGTGATACATTAAAAGTTTTTATGATGATATGATACCTTTCAGTCCAACTTCTCTCATGTTTTACTCCAAAATTCATCAATATAACTTTGGTTGGGGGGCCAGGTGGTGACCTCTTCCCACTGCTTTTACTGAAATAGAACTGTTTGGAATTTTGTAATTCAATTATTTGCTGTTTTTGAGTCCCTGTTTTCCTTGTTGTCATTTGAACTATTATGGATTTTTCTTTCTTTCTTTTTTAATGATATCCTCGATTGATTCCCATTATTTTCAAAATATGCCCCTGTTTGGGGCGCATTATTTTCAAATGTGGGCCCCTGTGAGATAAATAGTCAAAAATGGTGGCTGGCAACGGTTGGAAATTTTCTAAATATATAGAATTAATGTTGAACAAACAGGGTCTACATTTCTCTCTCTTCTTTTCAACCACACATTCTTCAATAAAATAATATTACACTCAAATCCAAAACTTCTCCTTATTTTTTAACCACACATTCTCCATCAATCTATTATTCCAAAATGAATTCTAAGCCAAAAATGTGGCTCGAACAGGCGCTATATTTCTCTTGCTAATTAAGTTTTGTTGAGATCTTTTTGCCTCTTCTTTAGATGTACGAGTTGTTAAACTTTATTGGAAACCATGTATCATGATTCAAACTTGCCTATTGTTTCTTGGTGATGCTAAAATTTAATCCAGATGCATGCTTACATGTTAATCTACTTACAATACTCGGAGTTAGAACATTATTTCTTTTCTATTACTTGTTTGCTGCTATTTTCTGCTCCTCATGTCAAAGAAGTGTGCTAAAAAAGGTTATAGAATGAAATTCAAAAAACTGAAAAGGAAGATGATGAAGGATACTGATGTTTGAGATCAACTTCAATCCATATCACTGATTATGTCTAGTTGAGTTTTCAGGTGGATGATTATTTACGTGCACTTCCAGTCAGAGCACTTCCTGGAATTGGTCATGTTTTGGCAGAGAAGTTGAAAAAAGGGCAAATTGAAACTTGTGGAAAGTTGCGCATAATATCTAAGGTAAACTTTTGTTTTAGATGGATCATGATGTCATTGGTTGGTGCATTAATACAGTTTCGACAACTCCTGGGCACAAACTCAACTGAAGTATCAAATAACTAATGCTCCATTTGGCAAAATGTTGTAAATCATTATATATAGTCAAACTTTATTTTCAACCAAGCATTCCAATAGACCCTCAAATACATTCACCACTCATTTCTATCTATTTATAAATTAAAGTTATTTTCAAAAAAGACTTAAGTTTTCTACATCGAGCAATTGGCTAATTATGGGATGTGCCACTTTGGAACTTGGCAGCCTTTAATGCTTAACTATTTTGCCTGTTTGCTTTAATTTTTTAATGTGCCTTCATTCTCTTTCTCTACCTGCTAATATAGGATCTGAGGTGACTTTTACAAGTCTGCAGTTGTGTGTGTGTCTATTTTTGAATTTTACTTGCTACTACTAAAGAGAAATATAATATTCAAAGAACTAGTTTTTTAGGACAACATTTAATTTTAGATTTCGTCTTTGTGATATTTCCAGGAATCTCTTCAGAAGGATTTCGGTGTGAAAACTGGAGATATGCTCTGGAATTATAGTAGAGGGATCGACAATCGACACGTTGGAGTGATTAAGGTCGGTAACCAATATCTTTATTTTGCTCCTTCTAGGATTGTACTACAGCATGCTTTCAGTCTTGTCTAATATTATCAGAGGTTCAAGCTACATCCACTTGTGAAGTAGTCTTGTAAACCTGAAGGCATTCAGTATTTTTCTTATGCAGTTCAACTAACATTCTGATATTGCTATGTTAGTGAGGTCTGTCATGTATAGTTGGTGTGAGTACTATGTAGTGCTTTGTTAGTGGGTTAGTCCCTGGCTTCAGAATGTTAGTGAAGCCGGCATAATATGCTATTCTGATCTAAGATGCGTGACGTATGGATGTGAGAAGTTATTGGATATAATATAGAGAAATGAGAGCAAGTTGTTCCTTTTGAATGCTACAGGAAGGTCATAAGTGTCATTCTCTGTTTGATAGAATAGGCTGACCTGCTTATACTTTCCATTCATCAAAGCACGTGGCACAGAGCAGACAACAATCATTTCTTAGACTAGGCAAACATGCTTGTACTTTTCATAGTCACATGGCACTTGCTTTGGTTATGTAAAGCTTAATATATGAAGCCTACCTATACTTGGATTTTGCCCTTTTTGCAGGAAAGCAAATCTATAGGTGCTGAAGTGAACTGGGGTGTGAGGTTCAAAAATACAAATGATGTCAGTAGTCTATTGTGGAATTGATTTTCTTTTACCTTTCTGCAAAGTATTAATAGTGCTTTTGATTTCAGGCTCAACGTTTCTTGACGAACCTGTGCAAGGAGGTTTCACTGCGATTGCAGGGATGTGGAGTGTTAGGTCGCTCTTTTACCCTGAAGGTTTGGCCATATGTTATTGAAAGTTCTTATGACAAGTGACATTGTGGTGCCTGTATGCTGATACTTTGTTGTTACTGAAAATTTCTGAAATTTAACACATTGAAGAAAAATTACGTTGCTTTGAACAATGGCATTATGCAGATAAAGAAGAGACGAAGTGATGCTGGCGAGCCAATAAAGTATATGGGCCATGGAGACTGCGAGAACCTTAGCCATTCCATTACGGTATATAACATTATTACATCAACATTTTTTTTTCTGGATCCATGGTATGACGTTACCATTCTTTTATCTATAAAAGCATTCTTGAATGACAGATTCCGATGGCCACAGACGAACTGGATGTGATTCAGAGGACAACCACTCAGCTTTTTGGATATTTTCAAATAGGTAGTTTGGGCTCACTGACCTTTTGCCTTTTATCACGCTTTTAAGATAATTGGCTATTTGCAGACCTTTGTTTTGGGACTGATTGCACTGAATTAGCGTATGCCTGCAAATTGGTTTGAAGATGGAAGCTTTAACAATAAGCTTCTAACTTGTTCTTACCAGAAATACAACCGTTATGTTTCTTCCACTTAATAGTAGGCTCAGTTTAAATTGACAAAGCCATTCGAAGAATTTCCCTTTTGTCCTTTATTCATTTGCTTCTTCCAGATATTGATAGATTTATTGTATCTTTAAACGATATAGCTAAATGACTTTCTCATCTGGGTCGTACTTTTTTGTTAATTTTCTTTTCCTGGGATGGCAAGTTTTAGTGCTCATTGGCAGATTTTTAAATATCCACGTATTGTGTACATGGACATTGAATTCCAAAATGCCATTTAATCAAGTATCTCCTTTCCCTGACAAGGAGATTCATCTCTCAAAAAGCCAAGTAGGAACGTTCCGTGCTTCTTGAATACTTTGGTATCATGTGTAATAATGCATTCTTCTCTTCAAATTTGTTGATCTGTTGTATTATGATTATTACTTTTTTAAATTCTTTCAGTGATTTACATTTTTACAAAACTATCATCTTGCTGTTATATGTATTTCTTGATTTCTTACTTTTCTAATCCTCAAGAGATTTTGTTTGGTTGTATAAACTATAATGTCTCTTTCCCCTACTTAGCAGTAGGATGACCATATACTTTATCTTTGAATTGTTTGATATTTTCTTGTTTTTTTTTTTTGGACATTTTGTTATTTTTAGATTTTTCTATTTTGAAATTCAATTTTAGAAATTTCTTTTGAAGTAGAGGTACAGAAGTTGTTATGGAGTGGATCGTGTTTAACTGTAAGGGGCATATTACTTTTATAATTTGTTCCATACATAATATGACAATGTTGGTGCAGATGTTAAAGATATCAGAGGAATGGGCTTGCAGGTTTCTAAACTCGAAAACACAAATAATGGCAAGCTAGGTTTGTGTTTTATGATTATTAGCTCTCTATAATATTCTTGGAAGAATCCTAAGTGTTTCAACTATTTATTATTGGTTTCTAGATTTGATTTATAACATTTTTGCAATTTCCTTTGTTATTTCAATAGTGCTTTTATCGACTGATCTGATTTACTTTTTTCCTGAAGTCCACCAGAGGAATTCAATTCTATCCTGGCTTGTTTCCACTTCAACAAAGGACACAGATCAAGAGAAAGTTACTAGTCTCACCAAGAACAATGATATAGGTATTATAAACACGTGTTATATTTTGTTATTTCAAATTTTCTTTCAGACATGGAATTGTGCAACAGAATTTAGTCGCACTATATAGCTTCGAGGTTTACTTTTTTAGGTGTTTGACATGGTTATGAAACTTGTGCATGATTATATTGGCTAAAGATAATATGTGTTGAAGTTATCCACTCATTCACCTCGCCCCCCTTAATTTTGTTAGTGTTGCATCTGCAAATAAGTTTAGCATGGACTACAGTAACGTCTGTGGTTTCTGTTTGTTACATAAATTGCACTCTTGTTGGCCATTCCCTTTAAATCCTGGATTGAGTTCAGCTTTAGAGTTTGAAAGAGTTTTCGACTTCCTTTTTTTATCCATTACTTATATCAACTCTGTTGCCATGATATTCTCTAGGTTTCTGTAGAAACTCTGAGCTTACTTTTTTTTGACAAGGGACTAAAATGTCAATACTTCTTGACTTGATTTCTAAATTTAGCTTTAAAATCCATGTAGAAACAATAGACCATGTTTGATAGAAATTAAAATCCAGATTTTAATATAAGTAAAGGTCAATAGTTAATTTTAACCACACATTTTATAGGGTCCACAACTTTTCAATCACACATTTCATCAATTTTTATCAAATTCTACTAAAAATTTGATTTTAATCCCCACCAAACAGAGGTAGAAAATTTCCATATTTTATTTGTATAAAAATGTTAGGTCTTGACTTAAACTGAACAGTAGCAGTTTTACTTGTGTTACAGTTGGGAAACTGAATGTTGAAGGAGATCGAGGTCAGTTGTGCTCCAATCATGCTGGACCATCTGTCCGAAGTGATGCTAGCTTGTCTGCTGGTGTAAGTGGCATTAGGCAGGGTGTGATTCTCCCTCCTCTACATGATCTTGATGTGGGAGTTATAGTCTCTCTTCCACCTGATGTCGTTGCAGAAATTAATGACATGTATGGTGGGGAGTTAACAAGTTTCATTTCCAAGTATAAAAGTGACATGAATATGTCTACTACTTCAGTTGATAGTTTTGAGGGTAAATTTTAAACATTTTCTCTCTTTAAAAGTGGATTTTCTTCTCCTTGTCAAATGTCTCATGAGGAACTGTTGCATTCTGATTAGGGGTAACTTCTGAGGAAAAGGAATGCCGTCCCTCTCATCTGGTCCAATCTAATAAATTCTCCTTTGACATTAAGGTACTGCTCCTACTCATGGTCTATGTAGCTTGTGCACAGCCACACTTAACTAAAGGATCTGAAATAAATCAATATCCCAGGGAAATAAAGTATAAATTAAACAAATTTTTGTGCTTAAAATTTGTTGATTATGTGATTTCCCATTCATGCAATGCTATAAACATAGAAAGTGGAGGCGTTGGAGAAGAGCTAGTCCAAAGGCGGTTGAATCATTTTTCTTTTGAGTAGTAACTGATTTCTGGAGGGTTTTAGCCAAGTAATGGGCTTGCACTTTCTCTACAAGAAGATGGCTATTTAGAAAGCTAAAAAATGTAGTGAATATCTTACATTTACTTTAGCATCCTATCATATAATTCACTTCCTACACCGGATCAATCCAGTAAACTAGTAATCTTATTTATTTTGTAATAACTGGGTGCATGATTGTAAATGAATTGATGAGATCACATTTTAAGGGGGATGGATTTAGTATGAGGATCTAGCAGGATCGGCTGCTTCTAACTTTTCCCCTCCTTTTCCTTTCACTTACATGTACTGGGCTTCAATTTAACTAGTTAATACTAGTAGGTCACCATAAAACCCTGCTGATGCCAGCATGTATGTCGTGACATTGTATTTCACATTTGGATATGATTGTTATTTTTCATCAGTTATTTTGCTATTCTTAGTAACTTAACCAGTTCTTACATACTGCAGTTGTTTGATTATCGTTGTTTCCAGTTGCTATGCTCCTTCAAGGAACCACTCATTCAATTGCTATTTGTGAAAATGTTCTAAAAATCTGTTTTTGTCATCAAAAGACATTGATATGGTATCTTAGTCAATACTAGCTATTATATCCTTGAGATCACCTTGTATCGGTCTTTTTATAAAAATCTATAACATTCTGATACTTGGAAGGACCTGTGAAATGTATCAGTCTCTTTAATATGTATCATCACCTATATATTTAGTGTTTCTTAGTTAGATTTTCTTAAGGCAGAGGTCAATTAAGGTAGAGATATAATCCCGCAGCACTTCGCCAATTCATCTGTGAAATAAAAAATAGATCAGAGGATTTCCTAATATAATAGATTATTTTTTACTTTCTTCAGTTTATGGTGATAATTTTCTGCGCTTTTGTTTGGAAAAACAGTGTGGTGATGAGGGAACCCCCATTCGACCTTTTTCTGCTTCAGTTTCTGAAAATATTGCCGTAATGCCCTCATCTCTGAGTCAGGTAGATCGCTCGGTGTTGCAACAACTTCCTCAAGAGCTGAGGGAAGACATACTTGAGTTTCTTCCTGCACACAGGAGACTAGAATCTGTGCCAGATGCTTTGCTGAATCCAACTGAGAATCAGACTGGATGTACTCAATTTGTTTCAGCTAATGAGCTTTGGATTGGAAATCCTCCTCTGTGGGTTGACAAGTTCAAAGTCAGCTGCTGTGGGATGTTGAACATTTTTTCTGAGATGTATTATAGATCAGGACATTGCCATTTGTCTTCTATACTTCAGCGGCTTTTCTCTGAGAAGCGTGTTCCTCTGGATGTGGGCACTGATGAATGGGACGATGCTGTTAGTTGCTTGTGTGAGCTTGTTAAGCAATATTTAGAACTCAAAATTCAAACAGATATTGAGGAGGTTTATGTTTGTATCCGCCTTTTAAGAAGGTATGTACATGATACAAATTTTTATTTTTACAGAAGTGCACTTGTGATGATATTGTTTTATATGTGTGATTTTCTCCGTTTGCATTTTCTTGAGAATAGTATACATGGATACCACTATATAGACCTGAACGAGGCAAGAGTGACTAGCCCATTTGTCATGTTTTGGAAAAGTAGGACATATGTAGAGTTAGTATTTTGATGTATATTGTCCAAAAGCGTCGTTTAATTTGATAAAAGCAAAAACTTTTTCCACATTAAACATGGTGATGGAGATCCATAAAGTTATGTTGGAAGGCTTCTCAAAGAACAGACATGTATTATTGTATTTCGAGGCAAAAGAATAAGTATGAGTAATTTTAAACTCTTTTCTAAGAGATTTTAAGCATAACTAGGTTTTATGGTTTTTTTATTATGCGGACTATGAACTGAATATAAGGTTATTGAAATTTCCTCTTCTTGATCTTCTTTCTTCTCTATCTCTTTTCATCTCTCTTCCCTTCTCCCCTCTTGTGCCCCTACTTTTTGTTGTGTTCTATATGCTTTGATAGATCCATTGGTGTCAAAGCTTGCTTCACTTCTCTAACCAAATCTCAATCTAGGCTAATGTTAGTGTTTCTAGTCAAAAGAACAATGTGCTGTTTAGGTATTTTTGTCAAAAGAAAAGAAAATAGAAAAAGAAACGGGCCAGATGGAGTGTTGGACAAAAAACACTTTTGGCCTGGCGAAGTGTCACAGATTTATACAAGCCAGATTGAGTGTGACAAAATTTGACATTGCTTTCTATACCTTATATTTTCCTAATGTTCTAGTACTATAGCATGGAAGATTGTTTAATCATTTACGTGTTCTTGAAAACTTATTTATGTTTTGTACTGTGTTATTTTCTTATTTGCCAAGGTTTAATGTTGTTATACACCAAGATACGGTTGATTGATAGGACTTATTTTTTTCTCTATCAGGTTAACTAAGAGGTCGAAATTTTTTGGACTAGTTTGTGACAACATACTTCCTCATCTTCAGGTTTCTTTGTCTTGGCCAATATCATGAACTCCCATGTCTTCCTGCTTTCCCCTCTTCCCATATCCTTCTTTATCCTGTTTTTATCTTTTGAGGATGGGAAGGATATTTTGCTGTCTCCCTTTGAATTATTTTTAATTTTGTTTGTATTATTCTTGTGGATTCAATTCTTCAGGCATCTGTTGGCGAAAATTATGGAGGAACTCTTAATGTCTCTTCTGTCAAGGATTAGTGTATTTAACGTGGTCCTAAATTTCATTGCCTTTGGATTTATGATACCATCCCGTAGTTGAAAGTACAATGATCATGGGGATTACATTCTCTTCTAGCAACTGGAATCTAGCCATGACACCTGATGTTGTAGGTGAGTCATTACTGTGAAGGTACTTTCTGCATGATGGTCCTGTTAGCGATGTTTGAAACCTTCGAGGGGTAGCCTTTAGTTCTCCCAGTATTAGCATTTATTGGAGTTGGATCAGTATTGAGACGTCATATTTGTTTGGTATGGTTTCTGATGTAGCAGCTCAAAGCTGACAGAGCAGTTGGACCAAAGTGGCTGCCAGGATTCTAGATTTTTGCTTGCCATCCTTTGATGTGATGTTTTCTGACATTTCTTCGCATTCTAAACTGGACATAATGACAGAATATTTGATCGTCTAAGGAGCACAGGACTAATATTGAAGATAATTCTGAAGTTCATGAAATTAATTTGGATTTATAGCTGTCATATACTAATTCCTGTAAATGTTTAATAATTTATCTTTTATTATTTTTGGATTGATATTCATTGTTGGGTGGCTACCAATGCCTGAGACATTTTTGTGCAGGTCAATCAGGATTCTACTGAAATAGTATAGCTGTTGGGCACCCAAAAAAAAATCTGGAGCTGCTATTTAATTCTTGGAGTTCTGCGTCCAACATGTTTGAGGTACATATTCTGTACTTGCTTTGCCTGGATGATTATCTGTAGTTATGCAAAGATGGAGTTAAATCAAAAGAATGTGTCTATCTATGGACTTTTTTTGATAAAAATTACCTAAACTTTCTAATTCTGAACATGGCCCATGGGACAATGCATGCTGGGTTGGCCCGTGCCATCCGAGTATTGGAGCCCGACACATTTTGACGTCTATGTAGGAGGAAACAAAATTTAAGCACTTAAACTTTGTCTTCACCAACATGTGCTTGTCAAAACTAACTTAATTTAAAACTTTAAATTTTACAACTTGAACAGGTATAGCAGATAATGTGAGGCTGAAGACTGGTTATGCACCAAGTCATTGGAGGAAAGCCGGGGAATGAGACGGTGGGGATCAAGGTTACGATGTGACTTCATTATTCTTGGATTATTGCAACAGTACTCTCAAAACTGGGTTTGTAGCACAACTCAGCAAGAAGATGAGAAATGGTTACTTTGCTGAGCTTCTGGGCAAGACAGTAGCACAGCTCTGGACTGGAAGGACTATAAAGCTAAATATAGAGCTTGTTTGACAAGGATTAAAATCCATTCAAAATTGAAAATATAGCCGTTATTGAGTCTCACCCGTCTAATAAAAGTCAACTCCAACGGTAATATTTTCAATTTTAATCGATTTTAATCTCTCCCAAACAAGTTCATAATATCTAAGTGGACTACAAATCTAGATATAAATATTTGGGCATTGTACTTCCAGTAATTATATGAAGAATAATCTCATGCTCTTGTGCTAGAGTGCAGTAAAGTGAATAAAAAAATATAGTACTCTATCAAAATTTCTCAACAATTCTTCTTTTCTGCACGGAATTGTGAAGACGTGATTTTACTTGTGCGGCCAATTTATTTTTCTCATTTTTCATTAAACAACTGAGGTTTAATTTTTTTTCAATAATGATGATAGCGAGATTTAATCTACTAAAATTTTTATTTGTACCATATTTAGTGACCATCCCGTCTCAAAAACCTCATCAAGCATAGAAACTTGCGAAGAGTTTAGTGCTTTTTCTGCGACCCCTGCCAACACCCACTCGCAACTCTTATCGATAATTTTTTATTGTCAATTTTTTCTTTTCTTTTTGAAAAATCTAAACACTAAATTTGCGAGGGAAAACATGTTTCATCCTTAAATTGAGATTATGTTAAAAGGGATTCATGAATCTAGAAAATTGACTTTAGAGAGGTTTTATTGGACTTCGCCATTTGTACAATTACATCCTTTTTGACATTGTGATTATTGTCAAAAATTGATTGGATTGAAAAATAAGTTTATTTTTAAACTGGCAAATCACAATTTTCCACGTGAATGAATGTAAGCAATGGTGTATACCAAAATGTGCCACGTGAATGAATGTAAATAATGGTGTATTCCAAAATGTCCATCAAGCATGATTAAGTTTTATTTGTACATCTAAAGATTTAGGACAAGAGACACAAAGATACACTTTCAACATACGTGTCAAGTCTACCTACCTGGGTGAAGGACTGAGGTAGTCGAATAACTTATTTTAATTAAGAGTATATATTTGATATTTCACGCTTTGTTACAAGAATCATGCTACATCGATAGAATATATTTGACATTGGATTTTTTTAAAAACAGTCAATTTTTGAACCCAATCATCTATTGTCACACGGCATCTGTCAAATAGGTGTGTAAAATCATCTGACAAAATGGCTTAACTCTTGTTGAAAGGGAAAGAAAATTCAATCATGCTAGAAGTATAAAAAATCTTGACAAAAAACTTTGACATACAACATGACGTAATTGATTGAAAGATGGAAAGAGAGAGAAAAACAATCCACAACGTCATCGATAGGAATTCTGTTAAGAATTCCGTTAAGAATTCCTTGTACTCGTGGCTTTTTCCAAGAAAATTTAGATCCTTGAATATAACCTATTAAAGAACTAGTTTACCGAGCATCTATGCATGCATATTTTATGTATATGAAAGTTTTTTTAGGGATAATTGCAGCAGTGGTACCAAACCTTTCATTTAGTAGTAGATTTTGTCCTAACCTTTTATTTGTGCCAACTCATGGTACCAAACCTTTCAAAATGTCGCAACTAAAGTCCAATGGATGATTTCTGTTAATTTGACCGTTTGTTGACCAAATAATTGATCTTGACAAAAAAATTTACTAATTTTAAAAGATTAAAATGATAACTTTACATTTTTTACAATAAAATAACCAAAATTAAATAATTAAAATTGAAACCAAATTTCAACTTCTTCTCCATTTTTTAACTTTTTAAGAGTAAATCTTTACATAATTTAACACTCTAAACAAAAATATGTAATTACTTCTAAAGAGTATGATTTTATAGTTATTCTGAAACGAAATGCAATTCAACCATTTAAATATTCCAGAAAAATATTACAGAATTGTTTGAATCAATTAATACAAAACATTTTTTTGAAGAATATTTGTTGCTTTGAAAGAAGCATAATTTTATATTTATTAATATTCTTAAGAATACCATGTGATTATTTTATTAAGAATCACAACATTTCAATGTAAATATTGTATTGATTATGGAGAATTGCAATTTTAATTAAATTGCATCTAAAGAAGTGATAGCTTATTTATATCAATATTCCATAAGAATATTATTTTGAGACTTCAGAAGAGTTAATATTGTGTGATATGAAGAGATAAACTTATTAGTGTTAGTAATTTGTTCTTCACTAAATAAAAGAGAAACTTATCACATTTTTAATAGTGTTTCTGATGACCATTTGATAAATATTGTATTGAATCACAAGTTTAATAACTCTTATATTTTAGTGTTTGATATGTCCATTCAGACCATCACCGGATCAAAATGATACCAAAAAAAAATTTTAAATGGACATTTAACGAAAAATCAAAAGATTATTCAATCAAAAAAATTTCTACATGATATTTGTTTTCTTTATTATTGGTAGTTTATTATCACTAGCTAAATATGGACTAAATTTCCTATATTATTGAAAATTAGTTAGGGTCATATATGGGTCACGTCATCCTCAACGTTGACCATGTAGATATTATATGTATGACTGCATGGTATTTACAATTTGAAATTTGTGAAATTACTGCTCAAATTATGAGCATAATTTTCAGATTATACAAACAAGATAAGTGTATCTTATTAATGCTGGTGATCTTAAATCTCAACTTGTTAACAAATGATAGTTGATATATTGATAAATGATTTAACACTATTATTTGTTAAATGTCTCCAATTAATTTAATTGAGAACAAAATACTTCTCATTTTGTTTTGGGAATGCCAACATTATAGTTATCCCTATTATAATTAGCTCATGATCAGAGCTTGATTTTTTCATCTGATTATTTGATAGTGCAATATATGTGCAATTAATCTATCACATTGCATTGGAATGAAAAGTAGAAAATGTTGAGAATAAATGCATACTTTGAACCCTTATCTCAAATGGATGATATTTTATAACGCAGTAAGAATGGTTGTCAATTTGATTATACAATTTTCTTAGCATTAAAGTAAGAACTTAAGAAGTTGAAAATAATATACAAACAAATCATTATCTAAATCTTAGTAAAAGATAATTCGAACAAGAAGTTCAAATGATTATTTAGATGCATTACTAATCAAAGAGATCGATAATATCTCACACAAGTTTTAAATTCTCCAACTCGAATTAACATATTAGTTAATATTATATTTGACAACACTTTTGAACATGATGTATCACATCGTATTATGAATCGCGAAGAATCAAAATAAAATGGCACTATCATATTAAAATTGAATTTATTACAGAAATTTGAAATTTCTGAACGCGATCATAGTAAAATTGAACTTACTAGAGAAAATTGAAATTTATAAATCTACAGTCTGAACACCTAAAGACGTATACTTATAATGAAAATGGAAAAAGTAAAATCGTAATATGAAATTTACAACTTTTTGCGTAATGAATTTTCCGAAAACTAGTATAAATAGATTAGTTATCATATGGTGGATGTAATAACAAGTCTCTACCTTATTAGTGTGACAATGCATAAAATTTGATATGTATATAATAAATGTGATTATAGTCAACTTATCATATATAATACTATTTTTGAACAAATTAATTTGCCTAAAACATAATTCAAGTAATATTATCGTGATGGGAGTAAATACGCGTTGCACTCTTTTTTCCTTCACCAATGTTTTGTTTCATTGGATTTTCCTGACAATGTTTTTAATGGGACACCTTTTATAGTGTGGTTAAAAGAATAATGTAC